GCAGCCGCAGCCGCTTTTCATACCATCTGATATGCTCTGTAGTTCCAAGTTGTCGGCGCAGAGGTGGATGCAGACAGCGACGACCCCTTCCCCAATCAGGCGCTCAGGATGAAAGCCGCCATAAAGGACGCCCTCGCCCATGGCTATGACGAGGCTCAAGCAAAACATGATGCATGGATGGAAATTTTGCAATCCCGCCACAATCCCCTTACCCTCACGCACATCCAAGCTATCAAGGTCTGTTACGTGTCCCTCGTCAAGCTATGGTCTCCCGACATTCTGGCCGACGACTACTGGCGCGAGGACGTGGTGAAAAAACACACCCCCCTTTGCGTGTCGTTTTACGTGCGCACCACTTTTCAGTCTTCATTCCGCTGTACTCATTTTGCCTAGGCTCGTTCTGCCAAAGGAACAGGCAGCCGACTTCACATCAAGGCATCTACGTTGTTATCCTTTGTCAACCGCCTCATCTCTCAGATCGCACATTTTGCTCATTCTGCCGACGGAAACAAAGTCGGAATGTTGTTGTTGTGCAAAGGCGGCTTATATGACATCTTACAGGACGAGACATACACCCGTAAGTCATCATCTGCTTGTTGTGTTCCCTTTTGACTCCTCCAGTCATCAACGAGCTGGGCCTCGACCGACACCAAAATGAAAAACTTGTCTTTGGCGATTTGGAACTTCTGTTCATCATCCAAACTGCACTCACCAACTCAATGTCGGGCAGCATCCGGCTTGCAAAAATTCAAGACATTACTATTGCACTACTTTTTTTTTTCACCGGCATTCGGCCGAGCAGCTTAGGCCCCACCCACGCCAAGTACCGGGACGAAGGGAAGGTGATTGATCTTTTGCTTTTAACATCTGTCTCTTGACAAGTATTTGCAGTACCCCAAACTCCGGAATGTTGTTATAGAACGGACGGGAGTTCTTAACTTTCGCACCAAGCTGTGCATCGCCGATTTGAAAGGTTACTTTGGTGCCGCTGGCTCACAAGTTGTCTTTAATATTGCGAGCCCGCAAATGTGGTCGCATGTCTTTCTTGACTTTAATTTGTTTTTCATTGCATATCTGGTTGAGCGTGGGGCAATTGAAGGTGTCTCTGTGAGTTACTCTTTATCATCACATTTCTGCCCCCTCACTCAACTGCCTAGACCATGGAAGAGCTTATCAACGGAGCTCAGAGCGAGCTCCGCATCAAGCCTGAGAAGAGTGACGAACCTTTGTAGGTTTCTTGTTGCTGTCAGATATCATGCAATGTCAAAAATTATAACAGGTTTTGCAAAACCAAGCCTGGTGGTAGAGGTTTAGATACGTCATCGCCTATGATGTCGAAGGGACTATCTGAGGTAACGACAGCCATGGCACAAGCAGCCGGCTTGCTTGGGGGCAGCGCATACTGCTATCGTCGCAATGCCGCAAATGTGGTATGTATACTATGACTACGACATTCCCCTTGCCTTTCACCATCAACAGGTAGCTAACATCATGGGCAAGGATGCCACAGAAATGGTGCTAGCTCACCGACGCCCTGGTAGCCTTCACCATTATCAAGTCCAGGCAACAAATATGGAGCTTACAGCACTGATGACTGGTGAACAGCCCGATTTGATCTCACCTATGGCCCAGGTTCGTTTTTTCTGCCTTTCCCATGATCTGTGTGCTTCATCATTGATTTGTAGTCCGCGCTGAACCTCCAACGAATGGATTCGCCAGCAGTCTCGACCATGCTTTGTGCCATGTACTCCAACAGTTCACGCCATATTCTACAAATGCAAAATGCAAAAACTCTGGCCCCGGTGTCTAATGGCGAGAATTTGGATGAGGCTGACGGCGAGGACTTGGATGAGGATACTCCAAATGTGAAAAAGGCTACTGACATGGCCACTACCATCTCCACCAAGAGGACGCGTAGACAGGACCTCGACAAAGCCGACCTCGACGAAATCGAGGTTTACATTTTTGTTTTTTTATCTATTTATTTGTAAACTGAACATTGGAACAGAACACACCGGAGCTTGTTGAATTGAAACGAGAGTTGCACCTCCAGATCGAATCTTACAAGGCAATGTTTACGAACTACACTGGCCGAGGTGCAGCCATCACGGTAAACGCAATGAGCCGCTACGCTGGAGCTGCGGAATTGAAAAATAAAGTGCGTGATCAGGACAAGGTGGATCCGGTAAATTTCTTTTGCCCTCACAAGCCTAGATTTTAAATTGGTTCCAAGGCGTTGGAACGGATCCAGGCACTGGGCTCAACTATCAGCAAGACCCGCAGACGGCTGAAGAAAAATATGGATAGGAAAAAAAAGGTAGATGCTCGTCACAAGCAGCTTGAAACAAGCCACTCTGCCCTGGCGTTTCCTGGGACCATGCAAGACCGTCAGGGGGTCCGCGATGCGCTGAATACCTCCGGTGCAAACCTCGTAAAGAGTGTCATCAACCACGCAGATGCGATATCTGTCACTGGCTCATCTTCGGATCTGGCAGGCACAAAGGAGCCTCTCAGCCGCTCCTCTGCATCAGCGTCTGGGTCAGTGTCTTCAGGCAGCGCTGGACCATCCTTGTCTGCATCTACGTCTTCGCATCTCACCGCTGTGGTGTCTTCGACTACCTCCACTGCCGCTGAGCCCGGAGCTGGGCCATCTTCCTCCGCATCTACATCTTCACATCCCTTGGTGTCTTCAACTATCTCAACTGGCACCCAGCCCGTATATGAAAAGTACCTTACAGGCACATCCGCCGACGTCGAGCTGGACACAACCAACCTGTTGTCCTTCTTCAATGAAGACGAAGAACATGACCTACAACTTGATGTGTCTGTGGACATTGTCCGCTGTCATTCTAGCCTCATCAACCATGCTGGCAAAAATCCGAAGCGGGTGGAGCTGCAGCCATCAACTGTCAATGAGGATGATCCAACAGAGTTCCTGGCACAAGGGTTGCAGACACAGGCGGGTCCCGATGGCATCATTTCTGTTGATGTCCCAGCGGTGGATGCCCTTACAAAGGCTGTGCCCAAGGACAACTTGGATTTGGTGCATGTTTTTTTTTGGTGGTACTTTAGCCAGTAGCAACTAACAATTGGTTAGCCCATGATTTGGTGCATGTTGAGGAGGCGCGGAAGGCCTTTCTCCGGTTTCTTGTTTTTCCGCTGCAGGTTGAGCGATGCGTCGACAAGTGCAAAACAGTATGTACCTGAGCCCTCCGTATCGAGTATTGCTCACACGTTAAAACAGGCTGATGGTTTCCAATGCCCCAAATGCCAACAATATACACATGACCCAGAGTGGATGAATAAAGTATTTCTAACTCGCGTTAATATGACGCGTCATCTGTACGCAAGCAAGCACTTTATACCTCCTTTAGCTGACACACTTTCAAGACAATATCAGCATAGTGAATGGGCTGATATGGAAATTGAAGCGGCAAAAGTAAATGATTCCGGCGAGTTGCGGTACCATTGTATCTGTTGCCCCTCTTTGTATGCTCCTGCTTTCAATTATCTAACATTACTTAATTCATCTTGACAGATATGATATGATGGCGTTGCTCCGCCTGCATTGTCGACGGCAATGTCAGGCAAAGGAGTTTTTCAACCGCCTACACCTGGACGACACGATGATTCGGGAGGCACGTTCTGACAAGGCAGTCAAACCGGAAGTCCACTCGTCAGGTAGCACCATTGTTAAAGAAATGAGTCTATTCTTAAGTTGGGAGAAGGATCTGCTTGCGGCTTGCGAGGATTCTGTATGTCAAAGGCTCGTTATGCTAGATCTATTATTGACTTGCTTTAGAATGAAGAAGAGGAGCTACGTGGTATCATCCACAGAGTTAAACAGATGAAGACCAACCCCCCTACCGAAGAACAAATTGAGCAGGAGGTAGACCTGATGGTAAAGGAGCACCCCATGTAGAGAATGAATTGATGTGTATTTTCTTGCGTCTAATAAAGTACATGCGTCCAGTGTAAAGCTACAAGTTTCCTGTAAAGTAAAAGTTCCATTGAAAACCATCAGAATGTCCAAGACGCGTTGTTGTACATGTCGACCTCGTAATCTTCCTCCATCGAATACGCCGAGTTATGAAGACTAAAGTCATTCGCATGATGATGGAACATGGGTTGTGGGTACGGATTGTAATGTTGGATATATGTGTTGTTCTGGAGCTGTTGCTGCATGTATATGTCATTCTGGGGCTGACAGCGCTCTTGCAAGGGTGGGCGACTACGGGATGAAGCGGGTGTAGGGGTTGTAATACTGGGATGATTGTGGGACTGAGTTGTGAGATCGCCCAATGCCTTGTCGAGGCGCAGCTGCAGTTCCTTGCGCTCAGAAGTTGTTTCAGTAAGCTTTTGCTCGAGGGTCTTGATGCGTGTAGCCATAGCTTCGATGTTGCTATTCGCAGTTTCCAGAGCCGTAGTGAGATTTGTAACCTCTGTGCGCTCTTGGATGCGACCAACAGACAAGACACGAGTCAAAACTTCGGGAACTAGCTCCGCGCAGCGCCGGCACTCTCCCTTGACTTTCTTGGGTGCGTCTCTGGCCAACAGTCAATACAGCACAGACTACGCACGACTTACTTTTTGGACGCTCAAGTCCGCTTGCTGGGCACAGGAGATACAGGTAGGCTGCCGTCGCCATCCATCACGTCGTCATCGTCGACTGTCTTGGCCTTCTTCTTAGGTGCGTCCCTGACCAACAGTCAATACAGCACAGACTACGCACGACTTACTTTTTGGACGCTCGAGGTCACTTGCTAGGTACAGGGAGGTTGCCGCCATCCATGCTAGAGATTGAGAGAAGGCTTTCCGGGTCACGTATGGCTTGCCGACTCGTTTCCGCCCGTTCCGCTCTGTCATTGGAAATCTAAAGCTCCGTTCCCCATCGCATCCATGTGCAGGGTTCCTGCTTCAAAACACAATGTACCAGTAAAAAGAAATTGAAGGGCACCTTTTCTAGCTGGCAGATGCTTTAAAATAAATAATAATAAAAAGGGCTCAACCGGGAATTGAACCCGGGACCACTCGCAAGATTACATAATCCAATGATTATGAGCTGGCTGCCCGAAGCGAGTATCATACTTCTAGACCATTGAGCCGTGCTAATGGTGGCCCTGTTAAACATTTTGTCATTGAAGTCGAGCGTCCTTGAAGCTCTGCAGTTGCTCTGCGGCTTCGACTGCCGTTTAACTGCATGACGTCAGACATATCTGTTTTATACCAAGTCTGACCCAACTCGCTCAAGATCGAAACGCGCTTGGAGGAAGAAAGTACCCTTTCGGGGAAAGCGGGCGTGGACGGAAAAGCGCCAATAAAGGGCATCTCGATATACCTGCTTGCGGAGGAGAGCATTTGGAGCTTCGAGGTTCTGTGGCAGCCAGGGGGACACTGCGGCACCACACTGCCAGTGCGACACTGATTTGAGTTGAGAATTATATCCAGCATCACGCTAGGGTAGGTTATCTATTTGGAAATAGACATACGCTATGAAATATAGACAGGAGGTGCAGTTTTATGTGCTCGATCAAAATCTGTATCAAGCGAACTGTGGACATGGGACCAATGGCGACGCAGCCGACACAGCCGTATGAGATCCGCGTGACCATATGTGACAGACAGCCGTGACGAACCTGCCCTCCTCTCTCATCGGACACAATAAGTACTTGAACACCGAGCCGTTCGTGTTCTACCCGCCTTCAAGAAGGCCGTCGTCTCGCCTCGTCTGTTCGACCCCGACTGCGTGCACGAATGTTTCCTCAAGATCCGCGTTTGTTGTGTAAAAAGTGCCGACAACTCAGCCCTGACTGAACCTGAATCCTTGCTACTTATGGCAGTGGTCATGCCAGCTCCGATTTTCGCAGGACTCTCGACTTGCTCCAGTCCAGCTTGTTTTCTTGTTGAACGTGCCAACATCTCCTGGAATCAAATCGACGGTTTCATTTTCTCTGTTACCCGTCGGAAACATATTTCTGGCTGATACCAGTGGTGGCGTGTAATCACTTCTCTGTGCAGCGGCAGTTCTGTCTTGTACCTCCTGATTCCAGCATTTTGATCTGCATGTTTGCGGGTGGTTCCCATGTCCTCGCTTTACCTGCGTTCAATACGCCGCCAACGCACGCGTCCTTGTTCCCGACCACCCAGTCCGACCTCGTAGTGAAGTAGATGATATGTGCCATCGGCCACAATGACGAGCTGCTGAGGAGCTCGCATATAGCAGGTATATACAGGGAATAAGCACTTTGTATGAGTCGACGCGAATAAAATGACTGGACGAGTAGCCGAGTACACGAGGTCGAAGCGGTCGCTAGTCGAGCTTGTTATGTAGTTGCCCGGTGCCATCCGCCTTTCTTTGTCTTTCTTCCTCTACCATCTCCCTTTTGCGACCTCTATCCACAATTGATTCTCCGAGCCACCGTCCTGCGGCGCCTTCCCGCGCTGTGGCATCTCTCGTCCCCTCCACTCGTCTAAGGTCAGAGCTCGACAACGAATCAACCCCTTGCGAACCCGCTCCCGCCGGTACCGTGCACTACATGCTTGGATAATATTCTGACTAACTCAGCCCTTCTGCCCATCCCAGAGCCAGAGCCCTCCCGCGCCCGCAAGCGCCAGCGCCTCGGCAGCCCGCCGAGCACGTCCCCGATCGATCCCTCTCCATCACGAGCTTACCCCACAATGCGATATCCTGGCGCAGAGCAGACAGATTCTCCTACCTTACATGAAGCTGCTATAGCGGGCCCTTCGTCGGTGGGCATCAATCACCCGCCGCCTTCGAACGGCCATTTGAATGGGAACGGCTTTACTTCTATAATTACGAATGGTGCAGCTGCGGTGGGGAATGGAGTGCAGAAGCACAATGGCCACTCGAAACAAGCATCCGCGGCTTCGCATTCGCTCTCAATCGCACGCGTGATGCTGCCTGGCACAAGTCTATATGACGACGACCGGGACGTGGACCGGGAAGAGTTTGTAAGGCTTGTAATACAGAGCCTCCGGGATGTCGGCTACATGTGCGTTTTCTTTGAATCGTTTTTCCGTGTAGACATGCTTATCGTGGCTCTACTAGTGAGAGCGCTGCAACCCTGGAAGCGGAATCCGGGTACGCGATGGAGTCACCAGAAGTAGCCGAGTTCCGGCAATACATCATGGAGGCGCGATGGTCTAAGGCGGAGAACGCACTACAACGGCTGGGTGTGCGAGATCACGAGGGTCTTTTGGTGCGGAGTACCGCTACGCCTGCTAATACCAGCTAAACCGATTGGACTGTGCTTAGGACGCCCGGTTTCTGATAAGCCAGCAGAAGTACCTAGAGCTCCTGGAGGCGCAGAGGACTACCGATGCGCTGCATGTTCTTCGAAATGAACTTGCACCGTTAGATGTAGAGTCAGAGCAGCTACACATGCTCTCTAGGTGCGTCTTCGCGTTCTGCAGCAGAGCGACAATGTTAAATCACCGCGTATAGTCTAATGATGTGTTCGGAGCCGGAGGATCTACGACAACGCGCAGGGTGGGATGGCGCAGCAGGACATTCGAGACGAATGCTATTAGACAGTTTGCATCGTACGTCCACGTTCCCCGCCCCTTTCTTTGATGTTGAAGCATATCCTTCCAGGATATATCCCCCCATCAATAATGGTGCCCCCACGACGATTCTCGACGTTACTGCACCAAGCAAACGCCTACCAGCGGCAACAGTGTGTGTACCATAACATCCCAAGCAGCCCAACCGGGTTTTCTCTGTTTGCGGACCACCAATGCGACAAGACGGGGTTCCCGCGCGTCACAACGACAATTTTGGAAGTCCACGCCGACCAAGTGTGGATGCTGGAGTGGAGTCGCGACGGCAACTTTTTGGCGAGCGCCAGCAGCGACAAATCCGTGATTATTTGGGGAATCGGGGTGCGTTTTACAATGATATCGGGATACATTTCGCTCACGCGAGAGCTTCGGTAGCCCGAAACGGAAGCAACACCAATACGGGAATGGGAGAAGCGACATATGCTGAACCATCCGTATCCGGTGATATCAATGGCGTGGTCGTTGGATGACTCAATACTACTTGCCGGTACGGAGCATCATATCAAGATGTGGAACGCCAAGGTTCTTTTCTTAATGAAAGCACATTCATTCAAAGCTGATTTTCGTTCAGACGGGGGTATGTATACGAACCCTGGAAGAGCATTCGGAGCCAGTCACCGCACTAGTATGGCTGCCAGATGATTCGGGATTCTTTTCTGCCGGGATGGACTTCAAAATCGTCCTCTGGGTGCGTTTACCTGCTTGGTCAGCCAAGGTCCTTATGCTTATATACGATGCGCAGAACCCAGACGGGTCGCGGCGGGAGATGTGGACCATGTCACCGGTACGGGTAGCGAACATGGTGCTAACACCGGACTGCACGCGGCTCGTCGCGATCGGAATGAAGGCGCCCCTGCCTATGGAGTCACGGACGGAGGGTGAATCCGCGGGTCCGGGTGCGAATGGAGGCGTGGTGTCAAGTCCCCCACCCAAAGACGAACATCGTCTGCTAGTTTTCGATATTGCATCGAAGCGGAATGAGATGTACGTCATTGTTTTTATTTTGTTTCGAAAAGGTCTTGTTCATATTTCTCTAGATCAATACTGTTTGAAGGGGAACTGACGAGTCTGAGCGTATCGCAGAATTCGCAATATGCCCTCGTCAGTCGCTCTCCGGATGTGGGTTTGGGAACGTTTTATGGTGATCTGTAACGGCTGACATTTATTACAGGACATTCAGCTCTGGGACCTCAGTCTAGGACGGTTAGTGAGGAAGTATACCGGTCAGCGGCAGTCGAAAGACATCATTCGGAGCTGTTTTGGAGGATTCGAGAGCAATTTTGTCGTCAGTGGGAGCGAAGGTACATTTCTTCCCGTATACTCTCTCGATCCTCCTTCACATCTTCGTTCCAGATGGCAATGTGTATGTGTGGCACCGCGATACGGGAGTTCTGCTTGAAGTGCTCGAGGGGCACGGCGATGGCAGCGTCAACTGCGTGGCTTGGAATCCGCGCAACGAGAGAATGTTTGCAAGTTGCTCAGATGACCGTACGATCCGGATCTGGGAGTCGCCGGACATCCTGCCCGACTCTCCCGCCGCTGCGGAACATGCGGTGAAGGGGAAGGGCAAAACGCGGCAGCGGGACGATGGTGCAGATGCTTCGTCGACACGAACATAGTACCATGGGGTGATATGCATCTCACCATCTAGTCTGCTTATTGTATTTTCTCACTAGCGCTTTCCGCTCTCCGTCCCCATTGCACTGAACCATCCTCTCCGCATACATAACCGACATCACATCCATCCGGTACTTACTCATCGCATCTAAGTACATGTATGTACATTGCTCACTACTTACAATCCATACTAGCACGTCGGCCGGACTCGCCGTACAATACATATCTAAAGCAATAGAATATTCTTGCATGGACATGTGGCGTGGTTCTCAACTGTGGACGGTCCGACGCGATCACGTGAGAGATTAGCGCCGTGCGCCTTACGCGTTCCGCCTGCAGAAAACCTCAGACAGCAAAAAAAATCTTCTGGTATAAGTTATAGTAAAGACTGCAAAATGTTTATAGGTACAAACACTGTAAAGGAACCTGAATCTGATGCTGTTACGACTGTAGTGCGTCTTTGAATTTTCATAATTAGATACGTGCTACTGCGCTATCAGATACAATAAGCCGAATCGTCACAACTGACCCAGATCACTGAGCGCCGTTAGTTTCAGGGCCAGGTTCACTGTGGCCGTCAACTTGAAACCGCATGGATTCTCCAAGACAAAAGGTTGACAATGATCCAGGCTAGGGAAGAATAGGCCAAATGCAGAAACGAGAGCGTTTATTTGCTTCGGGCCCATCAGTGCTGAGTGCCGAGTCATCGAGGAATACGTCGTAAGGAGATCTGTAAAACTGCCCCGTGCCGATGGTCAATTGCGACATCCACCGTGGCAGGAAGCGTGCATTCACCAGTGGCGAACGTGAATGATTGCCGGCCAGCAGTGGAACTGTGACAGTGTTCGTGCCAATCATCGGTTGTACTTCTTTGTCCCTCCAATTGCTCGAGGCTTGTGAATTGTGT